GTAGTAGTCTCTAATGATCTTTTGTATTTCTTCAGGGTCAGATGTGACTTCATCTTTTGTGTTTCTGATTGTGCTTATTTGGTTTTTTTCTCATTTTTTCTTGGTCATTCTAGCTAGGGGACCATCAATCTTGTTTACCCTTTCGAAAAACGAGCTTTTTGTTTCATTGATTTTTTTTTTGTATTATCTTTTTGTCTTCTATGTCCTGGATTTGGGCTTATAATTTGGTGACCTGGATTCTTCTGCTGAAATTAGGGTTTTTGTGGTCTTACTTTTCCAGCTTCTTTAGGTGTCTTGTTAGGTTGCTAATTTTTGTTCCTTCCATTTTCTTCATGTGTGTTTGTAGGGATATAAATTCCCCTCTTACTACAGCTTTCAAGGTGTCCCAGAGATTTTGGTAAGATGTTTCTTCATTTTCATTTGTTTCCAGGTATCTTTTGATCTCTGTTTTGATTTCATCATTGACCCAGGAGTTGTTTAGCATCATGCTGTTTAGTGTCCATGTCTTTGTGGGTTTTGGAGGGACTTTGTTGGTGTCAATGTTTATTTTTATTCCACTGTGGTCCAAGAAGGTGCATGGTAGAATTTCATTCCTTTTAAATTTGCTTATACTTGATTTATAGCCAATTACGTGGTCGATCTTAGAATACGTTCCATGCGGTGATGAATAGAATATATATTCTGTGGTCTTTGGATGGAGTGTTCTGTAGATATCAATTAAGTCCATTTGGTCAAGAGTCACATTGAGGTTCTGGATCGCCTTGATGATTTTTTGTCCTGATGATCTGTCTAGGGTTGTGAGTGGGGTATTAAAGTCCCCAGTTATGATGGTGTTAGAGTCAATATCTTTCTTTAGTTTTCCTAGAAGTTGCTTTATGAAAGTTGGTGCACGTATGTTGGGTGCATATATGTTTAGGATAGATATTTCTTGTTGATGGATTGAGCCTTTTATCATTATGTAGTGGCCTTCTGTATCTTTTTTTATTTTTAATAGCTTGAAGGGTATTTTGTCTGAAATTAAGATCGCTACTCCTCCTTTCTTTTGTATTCCATTTGCCTGAAAGTTTGTTTCCCATCCTCTTACTTTGAGTCTGTGGGGGTCTTTTCTAGTGAGGTGAGTCTCTTGAAGGCAATAGATTGTTGCCTGATGATAGTTTATCTATTTTGCCATTCTATGTCTTTTCAGTGGTGCATTTAGTCCATTCACATTTAGGCTAATAATTGAAATGCAAGAGTTGATCCCTGTCATACGGTTCTTACAGAGTTGTTCCTGTTTGTTTGTTGTCTTTCTTTGGGTTTTGGAGTTGGTTCATGTGTGTTTTTAATCTTTTGCCTGTACTCTTGTGAAGAATGTTGTTGTTCTTTTTTCTTTTTCTTCTGTGTTCAGTACTTTCTTAAGTGTTTCTTGTAGAGGTGGTCTGGTGGCAGCGTAGGTTCTTAGGGATTGGACATCTGGAAAAGATTTCAATTCTCCCTCACTAATGAAGCTTAGTTTGGCTGGATAGGTTATTCTTGGTTGAAATTGTTTATCTTTTAGAACTTTGCAGATAGGGCTCCAGGCTCTCCTATACTGAAGGGTTTCTGTGGATAAATCTGCTGCTATTCTAATTGGTCTTCCCTGGTAGGTAGTCTGGCCTTTTTCTCTTACTGCCTTTAGGAATTTTCCTTTTATAGTTACTTTGTTAAGGTGAATTGTTATGTGTCTGGGAGCTGGTCTTCTCATTTGTTGTCTTGCAGGGGTTCTCTGAATCTCTTGTGTTTGGATTTTTTCACCCTTGATGAGATGAGGGAAGTTTTCTTGAATTATTTCATGAAATGTTTGTTCCAGTGTGGCTTCTGTTTCTCTCTCTGCCTCAGGAAGCCCAATTACTCTTAGGTTTGGTCTCTTGAAGTGATCATTCATCTCTTGCAGGTTTTGTTCTGTCTTTTTGAGCTTTTGAGCTTCTTTTCTATGCTTTTGACAGTTTGGGTTAGTTCTGTGTTTTGGTCTTCGAGCTCTGAGATTCTTTCTTCTGGTTGGCCAATTCTGCTTTCCGTGCTTATTAGTCTGTTATTCATTTCCATCACAGTATTCTTTACTGCTGTTATTTCTGACATCAACTCCTTCCTATTTTCCTCTTGTCTCTCCTCAATTTTTTAAATTCTCTCCATTAATGTCTTGATGTCTGGGTTTGTTGCATGTAACCAGTCATTCTGGGGGCTCTTCATTGTTTGTGTTCCAGAATCTGTTTTCTCAATGTCTGATCTCCCAGGGGTCTTTGTGAGACCTATATTCTTCTTTTGGTTTTTCTTCATTTGTGTGGTTTATCCCCCTCCCTACTTTTTCCTTCCCCCCATGTCACCATCTTGCTTAATTCTGTTATTCAGGGGTAAAGGGATTGGTTTTACTTCTGTTTGTTCAATCTCCTTTATGTATGTTCTCATCCTTTGTTCAGTTCTGGAGTTGCACTGTAGGTTGGGGGTGGTCCTTTTTGCAGTTTTGAGATTTACTTAAGGGGGGAACTGTGATTCAAAATTTTTCTGCAGGTCCTGGTATTCGCTGATAGGTGTGTGGATAATCTGGAACCCACTTCCCACTGCCTTGGAATCTGTCCGTGCAGTGGGGCTGTAGTTTTGCTCCCTGAAATAAAATGTGGTTAGCAGAGGGAAGAGAATGGAGCAGACAGTGGGTTGAAGAGTTGGGTGGAGAGATGAAGGAGTAAAGGGGGCAACAAACGTGTGCCAACAAATGGAAAGAGAGACCTATACTGAAACAGATAAAAACAATAGACCACAGCTACAGATGAACCAACTCCCATAAAAAAAAAAAAATAAAACATATAGTGATGCTAACATACAAGCTAACCAACCACCTTATTGGTATGCTGTTCCTCTATACAAAGATATGGTTTACAGAGAGAAGAAAAGAGAAGACTAGGAAGAGAAAAAAAAAGAAAAAGGAAAAAAGAACAATACAGTAGGAATAGAATTAAGTCATTAAACTAACAGAATCAATGAAGTACACTCTGGGACTTTTCATTTAAGTCCAATGTCCTTTCAGTTCTGATTTCTATTTTTCTTTTCAAGCTGGTAAATTAGTTTTCAATTAGGGTCAGTTGCCCCTGGTCTGCTATGAAGGACAGTTCATATCACTCTCCGTTCACAACTCTGGCCTATGTTTTTTTCAAGCTTGTTTCTCCCGTTTCGGTGTTGTTACCTTGAATTGCCAGCAGGTGGTGCTATCTCAGCTGCTCGCCCCAGAGGGGGTGGGGCCGGACAGGAACCGGCAGAGACTAGAGATAGTGCCTGCCTCAGGGCACAGGCAAGAGACTCACGGCGGGCAGGATGTCTCACGGCGGGTAGGATGTCTCGGTCGCAGGAGAGGTGGCAGCAATCCCAGCAGAACTTCCCTGAAGGGACTTCAAGGACTGAAGTCATGGATCGCCTCCGGCCGGGGTGGTGTGATGTGTTTCTGGCGGCGGCGGCAGCGGCGGCACATGTGGCGCCTGTGCTGCAGTGGCTGTCCAGTACACTGCGATGCCCCAGCAGTGGCAATGGCTGGGCTCCTATGAAGAGCAGGCTGCGATGTTGAGGTCCACAGTCCCCAGGGCGAGAGCCAGAGACCCACTGCAGTTCTCCTTTGCAGAGGGTTTCACAGACCAGGTTGCCCCATCATCATCTTGTCGGAAGTCTCTAAATGAAATCTTATATTGAGAATGAAAAGAAGTTTCTTACAAAAGGAAAAAAGAAATATTTTAAAAGTCCTCTTTGTAACCTTTTTTCCCCACAGTATATACGATTTCTGTTCTGATAAAAATCTGCTATATTAATTGAATAATGCACAGATGATGTGATTGTTTCTGTTATTTGAAAAGTGACTTTATATTACGCTGAAGTAAGAGATTTTTAAAATTACTTTTTAGTTGCAGTAATAGTGTATTTATTAAGTGCCTGCTATACGTAAAACACTTCCCTCCACTCATTATTTCCCCATCAATCCTGTGTTAGTGTGCTTACTGCTTCTAGTTACAGGTGAGAAAATTGAGTCTACTTGCACAAGTTCATATGTAGTAAGTGCTGGGGCCCAGATTTGAACAGGGTTTATCCCCAAAGGTCGTGCTCATTTGGATATCCACTGTTTATAGTTTGTGCAGTCTCTATTGTTTCTCTTTTAACTTGAAGAAATGATCGATGCTGTTGATTTTTAAAGATATAATTCCTATTTCCATGTTGACTTTTTACATCCATCTGAATTAGTAAATTATCTCAGAAGCATGCTGGTCTTCAGCACATGGTTTTGAGTGTCATTCCACTTTTATTGAGAGAACAGAAAGCTATGGGCATCTTTCAACCAGAGGAAATAAGTGCAGCTTATTCACATCCCCCATGCTGTTGTTTAAGAGACTTCTCCAAACAGTTCTAATGGAAAAGGAAAATTTTGGAGTGCACACATGTGGATGGTTTCCAAGGCAGTGTTTGTCCTTTATCCTGAAGCTGTGAATAGTTTGTCTTATATGTAAATTAATTTCCAAAGGTCTGTGTAATAAACTCTCATATGAAAGAGTGATTTGTCCAAACCCATTTCCCTCGTTAAAAATACCTAACTGGAGAGAACAGGTTGATATTGGATGACTTGTGTGGACTTTGAATGAAGCCAAGACTTCACTTCTTAGTATGCAGTGCTGGAGTGTTGGGCTGAAAGGAATCCATTCCATTTCTTTTTATAGTGTCATGAAAAGTTGGAAAGAGGAAAAACTGAGCTGAACATACAGAATAAATAACTAAATGGTGCCGTCAGGCTGCCCTTTTGTTTTCACACATCCCCCCACCCCCCTTGTGAGTCACTGAGCCAGTAAGACTGATCAAAGATGCCTCAGTGTATAGAACATTTTATGTGGAGGTTATTTGTCATCCACAACAAAGCACTAATTGCCTCCAGGCCTTCTTTCACATGGTAATCAATGGGTTTGGAGCTCCTGATTGTGTACCACGCATCCTGCATTCATCCCTCAAGATTTTTTAGGTTTTGATTGAATATAAAACATCAGAAACATGGCATCAATCTAGTACAACAATTAGGGGGTTTTAAACATGAGTCTGGAAATGTGAGAAAGAGCTTGAAATAAAGGCACCTGCCGTCATTAGTTTTGTAATCATTTGATGTGATCAGAACTATAACTTCTGTGATAGCTATTAAGAAGGCCACATGGCATTTATAGGATGCAGCATGTTTCCCTTATGATTTAGCATTTCTAAAGGCCAGTGTGAGAAAGTTCAGTTCTCGTCTTATTATGACCCTAAGGTTCTCAAAGATGATTTCTTAGATGCCTTTGTTTCTAATGTTATCAATAAGGTTTCATTTTACAGAAGCGTTTGGAATTCTAACAAGAAGTCAGTGTCCTCTGAATATAGTTTTCAATAGTAGCTTTGCCTGGTTATGGTGGGGAGGGCTGTGTAGGCCTTAGGCAACTCCATTTGGCTCATTCCATATAATGTCTAAAGAGTTGAAGTGACATTCTCCTGGTGTTCTATAGCGATTATTATTTTTATTTTTTACTTTTATTTTTTGAGTCAGAGTCTCATTCTGTTGCTCAGGCTGGAGTGCACTGGCACACTCATGGCCACCTCAACCTCAACCTCCTGTGCTCAGATAATCCTTCTGCCTCAGCCTTCCAAGCAGCTGGAACTACAGGCATGTGTCACCATGCCTGGCCTATTTTTTTGATTTTTTTGTAGAGATGAGGGCTCTCCAAGTTGCCCAGGCTGGTCTTGAACCCCTGAGCTCAGGCGATCCTCTCGTCTTGGCCTCCCAAAGTGCTGGGATTATAGGCTTAAGCCACTGCTCCTGGCCTAAGTCATTATTCCTAACTAAGGTAAAATGTTTATTAAAATGTACCTGGATTGTGTAGTTATTTCTTAGGAAATTTTAACATTTAGAGTTAAAAATGTTTAACATTTATAGTTAAATGAGAACATTTAAAAATGACAGAATGATACATTGACTGTAGCACAGATATCTGTTTAGTAACAGTCACTTTTCCCTCTGTAAAAGTGTAAATGTCTTGTTTGTTAGAAAAAAAGTAGATTTCATCAGTGGAACAACAACAAAAAACCCGCTAAAACAAAACAAGATTAAAAGCACACACAGATATATAGGCACAGAGAGCATTTGTGGTAGGTTTTTAAAAATAACCAGAAATGCCCATTACTTAATATCTCTCTGTAGCCTCTTCAGCTCTGAATGAGCAGACTTCCCATAGGGCAAGCCAGAGGAAGCCATGGTGCTGGAGAACAATCTAGAACACCAAACCCTCTTCTGTGAAACAATGCTACTAAGTGTCAAGAGTTGTGAAGTGTCTGAGATTTCACCCTACGTTCCAAATAACAAGTCATCATGCCACAGTGGCATGGACCCTGGCTGGGGCAGAGACCTAGGACTTTATTAATCACAGCAATATCAGGAACCAGAGTATCATTATTTTTGTGCACCTTCCCTGAACCCTCATTCTTACAGGGTGATACAGAGAGGGCCAGGTGACACCTGTATAAATAGTGGGTTGTATTGTAGGAGAGGAACCCTGAACTTGGGAGTGCCCATCTTTTATAATAGGCAGTAAGCCTTCCTGATCCTTGCTCTGTGAAGAAACACTATGTATCTTCCAAGACAGTCTGCTATACAAATTTCCTTGAAAAGATAGTCCATAACAAAGGACTCATTTATAATTCCTGTCAGTGCCTTGCTGATAAGAAGTGCAGACGTGTGAGAATTGTCTTCTGATGCAACGTACTCTGGAAATAGATACCAGATATGAACCAATTCTGTGAACAACTAATCTGTACTGATTTCTAAGGGCAGTGTATGTGCCAGATGACACAGCTGTCCTTAACAATGACCACAATAGCAATTATTTATTGAGCATGCTGTTGCTGTAGCAGTCTATCTCACTTGTATTTTAACAGATAGATAAGAGGTGATATCATGCATCTATGTAGCACATCCTTTTCAAAATGTCTTCCCTTGTGTTTGACAACCACAAACTGTGTAGTCAGGACAGGTGTTGTTCTTACCCATTCACAGTTGAGAAGACTATCATTCAGTGATTTGACCAAGGTCACATAGCCAGTTAGTTACTGCCTAACTTGGCACTATACCAGTGGTTTCCTGACACTCCATCTCATGGTCTTTGGAACACAATGCATAATGCTGCTTCCTTTCCATCTTCTTCATAAGACAAAGAATATTACCTGCTGTTACAGAGGTGATCCCAAGCCAGTCTTGAGTTCCTTTTCGTTATGTTTCCATCCCTCTCAACTAGTCTTTGGGTCTTGCCAGCTACACCAGGGGCAGTGTCTGGCTGTGGTGCTGAAGTCAGGGTTTCACTTGAATTAAGGAGAGTTACTTTTTTTCTTTTGTAAAGAAAAGAAATTTATTTTTTTATAGTTAGGGAAACTGGGAAGTTCAGAGTTGAGAGCCTTCATCTGGTAAGGGCCTTCTTGCTGGTGGCAACTCTCTGCAATGCCCCAAGGCAACTTAGGGCATCATATGGTGAGAAGGCAGACTGTACTTGAGAGTTACTTTTTTAATGCTTTCTTGTTCTGTTTTAATTTCAGCTTAATGGAACACAAGCAGTCTCCACCATTTCACCCCCTCTGCTTAGAGGGGCCCCTTTCTCTGCTTAACTGAGTGCAC